CAGAGTTCCTATCGGGCCCAGTTTCTATAAATAGAAACTCATGCATTAAATGCAAGGCACGCAAACCCAGATTTACTCGGCGAGTTAGATCGGTTAGAAACTAACTTGCTCGTCGGAGTGCTAATCTTGTTTTGCAGGTTCTTTAAAAACATTGGAAGGTTCTTTGGCAGCTCAGAGGAAATCCTTCCGACTACCCCGACCTACCTTTCTTCCAAGCTTGGCAATTCCGAACTCAAACAATATGAAACGAGAGAATGTTGGTTGTTTTGCATGAAAGTATAAATGAGGAATTTTAGCAACTCGGGTATTGGAAGTAGTTTGTGTCATTTGATGACGTCAGGAAACGTTAGAATAACAGATTTTCTTAAGAGAGGGCAACTCTCATTGACGCGGTCAAATTTAGTTATTTTAACGCAACTTCCTCGTATTTTTTCTTTCGCTCTCAACTCTACTCTCTTTCTTTAAAATGTTTATTTCTTAATTTAACTTTTCTGTTTCTATTTTTTTTTCCTCTAAATCTTATTCTTTTATCTCTTAATTTACTATTTCCAAAATTTCTCCTTAAAAAGTTTTATCTCTCTAAATTTTTATTTTCATGTTTCGATGACAAAGATCCTTGTAAAGTCGAGTCCCGACCGCTACAAGAATAGGGAATGAATTTCCCACCTTGTTCTCGGTTCTATTTTTAAATAATAAATATATATCGGATTGAATATTTTACTAAACTATTAATACAATGTTAAATATTTCTAAAACTAATTATTTATACTAGTAAAGGATTTTTTTTAGTAAAATAGATATAATTTATATATACACTCTTTTTTCTTTTTTAGTTTTCAAAATAATTAAAATTAATTACTAAATTAGTAATTTAACACAGGAAGGTCTCATACCCAAATGAGCACATTGACCTCAATTATCAAAATTGGAGAATGGATTAGAGATGAAGACTAAAACTTTTCGCAAGGAGGGGGAGGGCATCTCCAACTCCCACCACGCCTCGTTGTTGACAACGTTTTGAATGCTCATGAATGCTTAAAGTGTGATAAAATGTTGATATTTTATTTCAAATTAGAAATATGTAAATTAATTTTAATTTAAATAAAATATAAATTAGATTAATTAATAATGGATAGGATTGATATCATATACTTATATATATAAATTATCATCCAAAATTTTAAACTATAAATATATATATATATATATATATATATAAAAGAATTCAAGTGGAAAAATTAAATTAAAATTATAAAATATTGTATAATTTATATATACCGTTTGAGTTACGAGTCCTATATCTTCCTCCATCCACTCCTATAAATTTCTAAATTCATATAACTTCCTTTAGATTAAAAATTAGGATAGAACATACAAAAAAACATGCTAAAATACTGGTTTTTTAAAATACATGAACTAAATTATTATTCAAAAGAAAATAATAGAAACCATGACGTGAGGATCAAATATCAAAGGATTTATTTTAGCTAACCTTAATATTAATTGGAGATAACTGGGTAAAGATTTATTTTAACTGGCTTTACTATATTCTCTCCAATATTAATTGAAGTTAACTGTGTATTTGGATTCCTTGTTCGGAGAGAACAAACCCCAATGTTTCTCTACATCAGGAGGAGTTGTCTTTTGGTTCTCATCGAACATTGCAAACACATATGTTTCGATAGGTCTTCCAGGTCTCTTCGGAGTTCCTACCTTCACATGTTGAATTAGATTGTTATTGTAAGTTCTTGCATTGTCCACCGTCGCGGCCTCCCCACCGTCCGTTGGCCAACCGCTCTCCGAGACAACAATTTCCAGTCCTCCACCTCCAGACTTCTCTAAAGCAGAGTAAACAGCATCCAAAATGGCATCAAACAAATTTTGGTAACCAAGTTGTTCATCTGCAATAGTTGACGTCCCTGTAAAAAGTGCAAAATCAAGAGGAATATTTGCAGTGTCTTGACTATAACTGAAGTAAGGGGTACAAGTTGACGAGCAACGGTGAGTTGTTGTCAACGAGGAAGCGGATGGTCGGGTCGAGAATCGGAAGATAGTCACTTCTGAAGGAGCCCTTTGAAGGAGGGAAGGACTCTGCAAGAACTCCAGTGTCAAACGCAGTGGAAACTTTGATTTGGCCTCCCAAGCCCGCCGCTGATATTGCATTCTGGATATTTTTCACGGCGGGGACGAGGAATTGAGCAGCGTTATCGTTTGTTTTTATTTCATTTCCAATGACGATGTACTTGAATCTGACATCGGCAAAGTTGAGGATGTTGTTTTGAACCCATGAATTGGCATTGTCTTGGCTGGTGGCCATGGCTTCAAGCTTGTCATTTGTGATTCCAAGCATGAGCTCGATGCTGGAACCTCTGAGAGCATCAAGAGAGGGTTGGTTTGGATCGTAAAGTCGCATTCTTTGAATGTTGTTTTGTTTGTAAAGTTCAATGACATCCATTGGAGATGGTAGGTCATCACCATTTTGGCCATAACATACACCGATTTGAGCATCTACATGAAATTGGAGAAATTTTGTTGAATCATATATAGATATTAGATGTGCTAAATATGCAATATCTATTGAATTATAATTATAATTGGAGTGAGATAGGTACGTCAAAGAGGGAATAAATTAGAAACATTAAAGAAGGGTAAATTACGGTTGGTTTGGTTTAAGGTCTTTTTTTTTTTTGTTTTTTTTCTTCATTTGTAATAAAAAATATATATATAATTGCATGACTCCATCACCTATGAGTTCAAAGATCATCAAACAAATGCTTATATTTATGTTTTGTAACAAATTGGAAACAAAAACAAGAAATAAAAAAACTTGTTTGACATGTTTCCAAAATTTCTATAAATTAAATTTTGAGAATGTTTCCAAAAAACGAGATACATGAAACATAATTAGTTTCAAAATGTTGGGGTTTCTTAATAAAATTTAGCAATGAAAAACAAGGAATGAAAACGTTACCAAATGGGCCCTACAAAACTTAAAAATGAGAGATACATAGAGGTAAAAAGATAAATGACAACAGTACCCCAAGTATCTCTACAATAGTATATGATATTTTCTACTTTTACCATAAGCCTCAAGACTTTGCTTTTAATTTGACCCAAAAGACCTCATACCAATAAAGATATAATTGTCCTTACTTATTTACTATAGATTACCTCATTTCCTAACCGATGTAAGACTTTATCTGCACTTCTTGAAACTCCAACCATTTGAATCATATTTTATTTAAGAGTTTACCGTTTTAACCATTAATGAAATATTTACGTGACACGCCCACTAAATAAATTTTCGTTGAACTGGCATAATACAGGCTAGCTAATAGACATATCACATCAATGTTTTGTTGAACAATGGCATCAAGGACAGCGTAATTCAAACTTAAGAATGCATTTGAAAACACAAAGCAAGAATGACTCACTTTATGATCATTTAGAGGAAAAATGAAAAAGTAAGGGTAGAAAAAACCAACATAAAAGTATGAATCAAATGGGAAGTAGATTATGATATAGATAATTAATAAACCAAAAACATTGATGAGAGTGAGAGAGAGAGAGACTGACTTGTTAGGTGAAGGTTTGCAATTAGTAATAGCCAAAGAAGAGATGAGAAGAAAATGGAAAAGCCTTTGGCATTGGCGTAGAAATTGGCCATAGATTATGGCTTGTGTTTAAGAGAGAAGATAATTATGGCTTTTTTATGCTCATATTAGTGCTCTTAGGTTCCTTTTTATAGTGAAAATTTTGGCTTGTGTTTTGGTTCATGACTTCCTCTTGTTGAAGACTTGGGAATAGTTGATGTAGAGAGACAGAGGTGTCCCTAATTTTTGTGGAAATAGGAAAAACCCACTTTGCTTAAAATTCTTATGAATGAGTTGGTGGAAACATTTTCCACAAGTCAATAAATTACTTTTCAAATAATAATAATAATAATAATAATAATAATAATAATAATAATAAACAAGTCAATAAATTAAATATATATAGTTCCAACAACACATGTGCATTTAATTTGAATGAGAGGATCCATTTGTATCAGTTTGGATTAGTTTCGAATAATTTTAGCTCTTACAAACTAGAACTAAGGTATAGTTTATGAATTCTATCTTATAATTAATTTCTATCCAATTCAACCAACTGAAGTTTATTTTTATTGGCATATATTGTAAAATTACTTACGTAAATGGTTCCTTTTTTTTTCTTTAATCACAATTCGCTCCATAATTCTTTAAAGAAAAAAAAAATCGATCATGTTAGTAAAAATTAGTTCATTTCTTTGAAGTATTACTTTTCAATATTATGAAGTACGGACAACTATCGTTTTGTTTGGTTCAAGACTTCCACCTCATGAAGACTTGGAATTAGTAGTCAATGAAGAGAGAGCATGGACCTTTTAAGTGGGACGAGAAAATTCTCAATTATTTAATTCTCATAAATGAGTTTGTTGCAACTTGGGGTTGCAAGGTTTCCAAACAAAATTCCACATGGGTTAGGGAAGAAAGTGATATTTGATATATAGATGAAGACACAATTAGTTATCTCTATTAGTATGCCGGCTTTTGGGTGAAACCAAAAGCAAAGATATAAGGGTTATGCCTAAAGCAGATAATATCATACAATTGTTGAGATATTTGGGTATCGTTGTCCGTAAAAATAGTTTCTAGCTCATTTAGGAATATTCCAACTCGCGTTTTACGATATGTTTGGATAGTAGATGTACATCGTGTTGGTGGAACCACTTTAATTAATCTAATTAATTGAATGTCCTTTTATTCTGATCAATTCCATGTATATTAATTTTGATATTATAGAGAGAAAATTAGGAATAATTATTTTATTGATCAAGGAAAAATCGATTATGAACTACACAATGCAATAAGATGTTTATATAGGTTATCAAACCTAACCCTAAAAATATGAAAAGACTAATTTACCCTAAAAAACTAATAATTATAATTATAATATTTATGCTAACATCCCTTGCAAACTCACGATGCTACAGCTATAAGCATTGAGAGTTTATCAGATAAAAAACAAAAGCGCGAAGTGGAGTGTGTCTTAATAAACATATCAGCAATCTGTGGAGATGAAGAAACCAGAGGCAATGTGATAGAGCGCCGTTGAAGATGATGATGAGTGACATGACAATCAATATCAATATGCTTGGTTCGCTCATGAAAGACCGAATTGCGTGCAATCTGAATCGCACTTTGATTGTCACAGTATAAGGGAGTAGGATGATGAAGATAAATGCCCATATCTGCATGTAGCCAACATAACCAAACAATTTCACATGTAGTCGAAGTCATGATACGATACTCATCTGTAGAAGATCAAGAAATAACATCTTGTTTCTTACTCTTCCATGAAATAAGGGAATCACCAAGGAAAGTACAGAATCCAGTGGTCGACTTGCGATCAGTAAGATCATCAGCCCAATCAGCATCAGAGTAAGCATGCAAGTCTAAAGATGATGTGGAAGGAAACAAAAGACTCTGAAATTGAGTGCCTCGAAGATATCTGAGAATACGAAGAACGGCAGCCCAATGAACTGTAGTAGGAGCAGTGACAAACTGACTAACCACATGAACAACATGTGTAATGTTTGGACGAGTCACAATAAGATAGACCAAACTCCCAACAATAGTACGATATAAACTGAAATCTGACAAAGGAATCTCATCCAACAGAAAATATCGAGCATTGGGCTCAAGGGGAGTATCAACAATCCTGTTGTCAGTGAGACGCGCACGATCAAACAGATCAGCTATATACTTTGACTGAGATAAGAGATAACCTTTTGGAGAATAAGAAACCTCAATGCCGAGAAAGTAGAGCAGCATACCCAAGTCTTTCATAGCAAAACAACGAGATAGCTCAGACTTTAAAGATTTTATTCCGTCAGAATCATTACGAGTAATGATCATGTCATCAACATTCAATGACAACAAAATACGACATGCACTTGTACATTTGACAAACAATGCGAAATCATGATGACTACAAATAAAACCAAGTGAAGTAATAACTGTGGAAAACTTTTCAAACCAAGCATGAGGTGCTTGTTTGAGCCCATAAAGTGCTTTGCGAAGCCTACAAACTTCACCAAGCTGGTGGGCGACATCAGGAGGAGGAGTCATATAAACTTCTTCATAAAGATCACCATTTAAAAAGGCATTCTTAACATCCATCTAAGATATTCTCCCTTGACGAATAGAGGCCACTGCAATCATAGTGCGGACAGTCGTCATTTTTGCAACAGGGGCAAATGTTTCTTTATAATCTATGTCATACTCTTGGGAATAGCCTTTAGCAACAAGTCGAGCCTTGTATCGTTCGATGGATCCATCAGATTTAGTCTTAATGTTATAGACCCAACGAGAGCCAATAATACATTTTCCAGATGGTAGAGGTACCAAATCCCGTGTGTGAGTGTGATGTAGAGCAGTAAGTTCCTCAGCCATAGCATTCTGCCAAAGTGGATCACAAACAGCCTCTCTAAAGGATGAAGGTTCAGAGAGACGATAAATTGAAGTAACAAAGAAAACAAAAGAACTATTATAAGAAGAGTAAGCAAAATCTGGTAGTTTAGTGGACTTACGAACACGAGTGGACTGACGGAGTGGAGGAACATCAACAACCTCAGGAGATGATTAAGCAGCCATAGGAAGTGGAGAATCATATGTGGACCTATTAGTAACCAAAGTATCAGATGTTGTTGAACTACCAGTAAGCGCAGTTGGATCAGTGGTGGAGCTTCTTCAATGTTAGTATTGAAAGGATCAATGTCAATAAGATCAGAATGTGTCAAATGATGGGAAGTAGCAAAAATAGAGAAAAAAAGAATATATTCTAACAACACAACATGACGAGAGACGTACAATTTTTTACTAATTGGATCAAAACAATGATATCCCTTTTGACCAACACCATAACCCAACAAAAACACATTAGGCTGATTTAGGAGATAATTTATTGCGCTCGACGTGTGGGCGAAGAACAAAACAAGTACAACCAAATACACGCAAAGAGGAATAATCAGGCACATGTCCATACAATTTTTCAAACGGAGACAAACCAGAATTATGTGAGGCTGGAATTCTATTCACCACATGCGTGGCGGTAAGAATCGCTTCCCCCCAAAAATCACTAGGAACATCGACTGATAATGAGAATGACCGAGCTGTTTCGACAAGATGGCAATGTTCTCTTTCAACAACACCATTTTGTTGTGGTGTGTCAATACAAGAGTTTGATGTAAAGTCCCATCCGAAGCAAGTAAACGGGAAAAGTCATTAGAAGTATATTAACCTCCCAAATCACTACGAAAACACTTTATGACTGCGAACTCTTGAGTTTTCACAAGAGCTCGAAAGTTGGTATAAATAGTAAGAAAGTCAAATCTATGTTTCATAAGATAAACCCAAGTATGACGAGTGTAATCACCAATAAACGAAACATAATATCTGGAACTCCTTTAGTGGGTACAGAAGATGGTCCCCACACATCAGAATGGACTAAATCAAATGGAGCAAAAGAAACGGAAGTACTATTATTAAAAGGTAAAGCTAAAAATTTTGCAAATTTACAATCACTCCAACCAGAAATATCATGACTGTTTAATTGACCTAAAGCTCCTGTGGACACTAAGAAACGCAAACGAGATGCAGACACATGACCCAAACGAGAATGCCATAAATATAAAATGGAAGATGAATCAGTCAAGCGAATGGAGGATGAATCTACACTAGAAGCTACAACATCCGCTACTTTGAGTTGATCCAAAACATAGAGTCCCCCCTGCCTACGGCATGTCCCAATCTTTTTCTGAGACTGTGAGTCCTGTATTGAACAAGTGGAAGAAGAAAATAAAAACTGAGTATCTAGATTTACATAATTGATTAAAAGAGACAAGATTTAAAGTAAGGCTAGGAATATAGTAAACATTAGATAGAGACACATAAGGTGTAATGATTGAGCCAACACCTACTAATGGCATAGGGGTGACATCAGCAGTCACAATTGATACTGAAGAATGAGAAGACAAGGAAACAAAAGAGGACAAATTGGGAAACATATGGTGAGAGGCACTTGAATCTACGACCCATAAGGTAGTGGATATATCTGAAGCATCAGATGATGACAAACCTTTAGAAGATGATGCAGACATAGCAGGAGGGTGTGAAACTAGAAACTTCTGAAACTACTCAAACATGTGTGGATCCAAAGATGGAGCGGTCACTCCATTATTGTACTGAAGTGGTCTATATGTCCATGGAGTATGTTGTGGGGGTTGTTGTTGTTGCGATGGTGGCGGCTGACGTTGTTGTTGCTTTTGTTGTGATTTACCCAGTTTATTCGGCAACAACGGACATTGAGCCTTCCAATGACCCTTCTTTTTGCAGAATGCACACTCATCATGAGAAACCTGTGTGTGTGAGTTTTCTGTATGATACTAGTGGAAGATCGTTGTGGAGTAGCAAAAATTGATGGATTCAGAGGAGGGGTAATTTTCTTATATTTTTTAGACTTGAGACGAATCTCCTCTGCTAATAGTTCACTAACCACTGAATCAACTGATGGAAGAGGCATACGATCTAAAATTGACCCACGCATTGGCTCAAAATCATGACGAAGAGCCATAGGAAACTGGACCAAGCGCTGTGAGTCCCTCCGAGTGATATAAGCCTCGAATGTGCTTAATTTTAAAGATTCTGTTAATGCCAACTAATCCCATAATTCTGACATGGAAGAGTAGAAGTCTTGAATACTCATATCATTCTGCTGTAATGCTCGAATATCCGTCTCCAATTGATACTGCTTGGCAAAATTAGACTGTGTATACAATTTGGCCAGATGGTCCCAAACCTGTTTAACAGTATCATATTTTGCTAATTATGCACCAATAGAGTGCATAACAGAATTATTTATCCATGTGATGATCTTCAAATTGTCAGACTCCCAAGTATCTAATGCGGATTCATAGTCATTTGCCTTGGTGTCTTTAGGCTCAACTCGCTTACCCGTAACATAGTTCCACATAGATTTTCTATGCAAGAAATTTTTCATAACACAACTCCAATACGAATAATTTTTACCATCTAATTCTATACTAATCGATTGAAGAGAATCATCCTTACGATTCGACGTAATGGCAAAATCGAAACAATTCCCAATTTCACCCAACAAAACTACCACCAAATTTCACTAAACAAAAAAGAGTTGAACTATGCCGAAGACTAATACTACGCCGAATCGTAAATTTCCAATCCAAAATAAGTAAATTTTCAATCCACAATGCACAAAAATTAAGGATACCAGACGATTCCAAAATCAATCTAACAATCCAAAAGCAAATTAAGCTTTCAAATTTCAAAGCAAATATCACCAAAATTCACAATTATGTTGACTGACCCTTCTTCGATGCAATAAAAATCCAAACCTTGATCCTTCCTCGATGTAATAAAAAATCCAAAACTCAAAACACATACTGATTGCGACAATGAGAATTTCGAAATCGATTTCTCCACGAAATTGCCTGCAAATTCAACATCTTCAAAAAACTGAATTTACATGAAATTGCCTTCCTTGCCCGATCAACTAACGGATTCAAATTTAAATGATAATGGAGGCTCTGATACCATGAAATCGTAGAGAGAAAATTAGGAATTACTTTATTGATCAAGGAAAAATCGATTATGAACTACACAATAAGATGTTTATATGGGTTATCAACCCTAACTCTAAAAATATGAAAAGATTAATTTACCCTCAATGACTAATAATAATAATTATAATATTTATGCTAACAAATTTTACGATTGCTATCAGAACTAGCAGTTTCATTTTCGTCGTCTGTGAATTTTTTATGAAGGAATTCGATTTGATCAATAAAAAGAACTGATGTTATTGTTCTATTTTGATTATCCGTTGAGTTTTTATACTTGCGAGTTTTGGTTCAAGATTTTAAAGTTTGTCGTATCACTTAAATTTTGTCAACTCAACGTTGCCGCATCAACACTAGCTTTGTGGGTGATTTTGACTTCAGGGACACCTTTTAGAACAATTTCTTAAATGTCAAGGACTAAATTGTCACTTTTTTAAACTTATGAACCAAATAGAAACTTAGCCTCAAACTCAGGGACTAAAAGTGTATTTTACTATAGTTTTTATTTAGAAAAAAGTACACTTTTGGTTCCTAAGGTTTATGCTAGGTGTCTGTTTGGTTCCTGAAGTTTCAAAGTAATATTTTTAGTCCAAGTTTGAGATAGTTGTCTATTTGATCTCTAAAGTTTTAAAATGAACACTTTAATTGTTAGAGTTTAAAAAATCATTTTAAATGGTCATTGAGTTAATTTGGAAAAATATGTTAATTTAATAATATATTTTCTTATAACTAGACTTCTCTCGCTTATTATTTTTTTATTTAAATTATCACTACCTTTTCACCTCCTTCCTCCTTCCTCATCTCCAGGCGAGGCCCACCACCGACTGTCGAGGTACAGATGGGAGCTTTTCCTCCAGCCATTTCAATATTGTCATCCTCAACATCTCTCTTAAAAATAAATAAATGAGAGAAGTCTAGTTATAAAAAAATATATTATAAAATTAATGTATTTTGTCAAATCAGCGCCACGTTATTTCAACATTAGTCAACTAAGTAAACTCAATGATCATTTAGAATTATTTTTCAAACTTCAAGGACTAAAGTGTTCATTTTAAAACTTTAAGGACCAAATAGATATCTATTTCAAACTTCAAGGACTAAAAATGTCTACCTTGAAACTTCAGGGACAAAATAGACACCTAGCTTAAATCTCATGGACCAAAAGTGTCTTTATGCTTTTATTTATTTTTTTGGAATAAATTAATTGGAAACGAGAACAAGAAAAAAAAACTTGTTTTTATTGTTTCCAAAATTTCTATATAATTTTGAGAATGCTTATAAAAAAAATGAGAAACAATAAATATAAATATAAATAGTTGTCAAATACTTATATTTCTTAATAAAATTAGAAACGAAAAATAAGAAAAAAAAATTACCAAATAGGTCTTGTATTCCAAATTCTCAATAAGATGGAGGGAGGCGACTGAGAAGAAAAGGAGATAAGTAAAAAGAAACGCTAATAATTTGTATAGTTTTTCAATTTTTATTTTTTAGTTTTTAATTGAACTTGGAACTGACCAAAAA